TTAAAAAAAAAAAAAAAAACAACTAAAAATTAAAAAAAATAAAAATAAAAAAGACGAACCGTCTGCTCCGGTGCCCGTTTAGAACATGTAATAATGGCGTAGGTAAAACCACGAGCCAATTCAAGCTAATTCAGGCCGAACCGATTTGCTGATACAGCCGGTGGTCATGTCTAATCTAAATATAAGTCCAAAGGAATTTCACTAGTGTTCCCATTGACTTAATGGGCCAGATAAGTATGTGTACATTAAAGATTATGGGCCGCTTGCCAAATGGGAGTGACCATTGTGGGTTGTGGTGCTCGTGGAGAGAGGAGATAAGAAATAGAATGGTTTTGCTGTTGAGATCCAATTGACTCATCTTGTTAAAGTTTGAGTTTGTTTAATTTTAATTTGTTGAACTATTTGTTCTAGTTATGTTCATTAAAAAATTCGAGTGTGGGTCGGTAATATTAATATACAAGCTCAATAAAGGCTTGTCAATACCACAAGTTCAATTTGACTCGTTTCTAGCTCAAATACACACGGGTCAAGGCAAGGCCATAGTGTTGTTTATTTGTGTCTTTTTTGTACTCTATTGTTTAATGTGTTATTGTGCGTCTTCAATTGTAGGAGTGTGTATTATTTCTTTTTGGAGTTTGTGGTCTCTTATAGTCTTATTTTAGTTGGTTTATTTTTGTGTTTAAAGAAGTTAGGGTTGTCCTTAATATTTTTATATAGTAATAATATTTTATCGTTTGAGAAAAAAATGTGGTTCAGTGCACGTGTTGGCTCATCTCACTCCCACCTTCACATACATACAAGCAAAAATAGTTTTTTCACCCCTACGAAAATATATTAAGTTTTTTCTCAGTGCTGATTAGTGTTGTAAATGAACCGGATCAAACCGAGCTTGGGCTGTTGGAGTTCGTGTTCGTTTACGTTCGAACATTGTTCGTGTTCGTTAATTTATTTTCGAGCAAAAAATCGCGTTCGAGTTCGTTAGTATAATTGTTCGTCAAAGTTCGAGTTTGTTCGTGTTCGAATAATTTAATACATACACTTTTTAAATATGTTTGATTAACTCGAAATTTGTTCGATCGATCTAGAAAATAGAAAAATAAAATAAATATATTTCTTTATTTTAGATGTTTTATTAAAAATATTATGTAAATATATAAAAAATAAAATAAAATTATATTAAATTAATGTTCGCGAACATAATCGAATGTTCACGAACGAGCTCGTGTTCATTCGATTATTAAACGAGCCTAATTTTCTACTCGAACTCGGCTCGATTAACAAACGAACGAGCTTTTATCGAACACGAACGAGCTTTTGTTCGCGAACGTTCGGTTCGTTTACAGCTCTAGTACTGATAAGTTAATTTTTTTACCTAAAGAAATGTAAAAACATTATACGATAAATATGCTACAGTTCCACAATAACGTTGTGTGTAGAAAAGTTGAAAGTGCAAAGATCTATCTGTGAATGACCATTGCAGTTTGAGTGTGAAAAAGTTGCAAAAGTTCGCATAACTTTTCGCACTTATACGAAGAAAGGTAAGAAAAATATACAAAATCAAAATTACCTTTTTTGTGTATATGGAAAAGGATTCCCATACCTCCCAGAGACATTATACAAAGAAAGGTAAGAAAAGTATTATGTGTACATGTTTTAGTATGTTTTGTGTTTTGCTATTACAAAAAATAACTGAGTTTGGCATTGAATGTGAAATCAAAATTACTCTTTTAGATTCGTATAAAAAATATATAAGACTATTTTGTAGAAGGCTTTCTGGTCCATTTATAAAAGGTGCCTACTATGATACTTGGTAGCATTCTCTTTTATCATTTGATTTTATGCCACTCGACAATATGAAGTACTTGGATATCATTTACATGTCATAGGTTACAGAGACTGATGTTGGAGAGTTTGAGGAAACCTACAAAGGCTCTGATTCTGAGCCAAAAGATTTGCTTGAGCTGTTTAAAAAATTGAAGGGCAACATGGAGAAGTATTTTTTTTATGAGAATTTATCATATATAACTATATATATAAGTAGCACATCAACATAGAGAGGTATTAGGCCCGTATACTAATTAAAGTGTTTGCTTTTCAAAACAAAGTATGTATATTTAACTTTTGCCAAATTTTTACTTCATTGTCTACCAAACTCGGGCGGGCTGCCGAGAGTCCACTAGTCATTCATATAAACAGAGCAAGTATGCTTTTAAATTTAATTATGTATAATATAAAACTAAACCATATAGTATTATGTTCATTTACTATTATTAAGCAACTCGAGCTATTAGTACCTGAGCTCGGACTAGAGAGTTTATCTCCTCTCAACTCAATAACTCATTGAGCCAATAAATAAGCGTAACTCATTTATTGAAATTAATGAGTTAAACTCAAACTTTAACAAAATGAATTAAAGTAATAATTCAAACAACTACATAAACAAGCATTAACAAAACAATTCAACTCGATTTGTTAATTAAAACAAGTCGAGCCAAACTTGGACTTTAACAAGACGAATTAAAAGGTAATAATTAAAAGAAATACGTTAACTCACGTTAACGAATTGAGCCATTTAACACGTTAGCTAAATGAGCTCGTTTATTAGACGAGCCGAATTAAACTCGAACTTAACGAGTCGAGCCCACAAACAACTCTGTTTGTTTAATTGATTTATTTTGAGTTATCCTTTATCCGGCCCTGGTTTATTAATAATCAAATGAAGATAATACAAATTCCAATAGTTTTAACTACATTAACCTTCCCAACCACAATTTTTTTCTTTTTTAGATATTTTACTGACACTAATATAGTCAATAAAAAATTTAAAAATTAAATGAATAAAAAAAATAGTGGGTTCTGACTTTACTTCAAATAAAACGTAACCAAACATTTGAGCAACCGTTGAAAATTGTATTTAATCATTTATTTAGATGAAAAAAAAAAATGGTAAATTCAGTTTACTGAATTCACTGTCACTCTCATCTAATCTCCCCCAGAACCCTACTCGCTCTACCACCTAAATCTCTCGCCAGAAAATTCTACGCTCTTTACCCACCGGCCGTGAACCCGAGCAAAAATGGCGTCTTTAGCAGCAACAAGACGAACTCATTTGAACCCAAGCCTCTCCAAGCTCCCTTCCCCAATTTCCCTCAAATCCCTCTTCTTCTGCACCTCGCCCGACTCCAAATCCACAAACCCGACATCCGATGAAGGCATCTCCGCGTCCCCAAATCCAGATTCCGACTACTCCGCCGCCGTTTTACCATTCCGCCACCGGGGCCCGGAGAAAATCGAGGACGTCATCTGCCGGATGATGGCGAATCGGCCCTGGACGACTCGACTTCAGAACTCGATCCGAAACCTCGTCCCGAGCTTTGACCACGAGCTTGTCTACAACGTGCTGCACGGCGCCAAATACTCGGAGCACGCGCTCCAGTTCTTCCGATGGGTCGAGCGGTCCAATCTTTTTCAGCACAGCAGGGAAACCCACCTCAAAATCATCGAGATTCTTGGCCGGGCCTCGAAGCTCAATCACGCCAGGTGCATTTTGCTGGACATGCCCAAAAAGGGCCTCGAGTGGGACGAGGATTTGTGGGTCCTGATGATCTACAGCTATGGAAAAGCCGGGATTGTCCAGGAGAGCGTGAAGCTGTTCCAGAAGATGGAGGAATTGGGAGTCGAGCGGGGATTGAAGTCATACGACACTCTGTTTAAGGTAATCCTGCGCAGGGGCCGGTACATGATGGCCAAGAGGTACTTTAACAAGATGCTGGCTGAAGGCCTTGAGCCGACTCGTCACACATTCAATATCTTGTTATGGGGATTTTTTCTCTCAGGCAAAGTCGAGACGGCCAATCGGTTTTTTGAGGACATGAAGAGCCGTGATATTGTGCCCGATTTGGTGACATACAACACGTTGATCAACGGTTACTACCGTGTCAAGAAAGTCGAGGAGGCGGAAAAATATTTTGTCGAGATGAAGGGGAGGAACATTGAACCAAATGTGATTACATACACGACTTTGATCAAAGGTTATGTTTCCGTCGAGCGGGTTGATGATGCATTGAGATTGTTGGAGGAGATGAAGGGATTTGGTGTCAAGCCAAATGCAGTCACTTACTCGACACTGTTGCCCAGCCTGTGTGATGCTGAGAAAATGCTTGAGGCCCGGATTGTGCTGAAGGAGATGGTGGCTAAGTTTATTCAGCCTGAAGATTACTCGATTTTCGTGAGGTTGATGTCCGGTCAGTGCAAGGCGGGTCACTTGGATGCTGCTTTAGATGTTCTGAAGGCTATGATTAAGTTGAGTGTGCCTACACAGGCTGGACACTACGGGATTTTGATTGAAAATTTTTGCAAGACTGGTGAATATGATAGGGCTGTTAAATTATTGGATAAACTGATTGAGAAGGATATCATCCTTAGGCCTCAGAGTACTCTGCACTTGGAGCCTAGCGCGTACAACCCATTAATTGACTACCTTTGTAAAAACGGCCAGACTTCAAAGGCCGAAACTTTAATGCGTCAGCTGATGAAATTGGGCGTGCAGGACTCAGCTGCTATGAACACCCTTGTAATCGGGCATTCCCAAGAAGGTTCTCCTGACTCAGCTTTCGAATTTCTGAAAATCATGCTCAGGAGAAAAGTTAGCACTGAGAAGTCCTCATACGACTCGCTCGTCCAGAGCTATCTTAAAAAGAACGATCCTGCAGAGGCAAAAATCGTTCTCGAAAGCATGGTCGAAAACGGGCACCTCCCAGATTCTTCCCTTTATCGATCGGTAATCGAGAGTTTGTTTGAGGATGGCCGAGTTCAGACCGCGAGCCGCGTGATGAAGATGATGTTAGAAAAAGGAGTCACAGATCATCAAGATTTGATTTTTAAGGTATTGGAGGCTCTGTTCATGAGGGGCCACGTAGAGGAAGCCCTCGGCAGAATCGAGTTGCTTATGCAGAGTGGGGTTGTGCCCGATTTTGACCGAATATTGTCCATTTTGTGCGAGAAAGGGAAAACTATTGCTGCTTTGAAGCTTTTGGATTATGGCTTGGAGAGGGAATATAGTGTACAGGTGTCAAGCTATGAGAAGGTGCTGGATGCATTGTTGGCTGCGGGGAAAACTCTTAATGCGTACTCGATACTCTGTAAGATTATGGAGAAAGGAGGAATTAGTGACTGGAGTAGCTGCAAAGATTTGATCAAGAGTCTTAATGAGGAGGGGCATTCGAAGCAGGCGGACATTTTCTCTCGGATGATTACAGGGAAGGATAAGGATAAGCCAGTTAGAAGCAAGAAAGGTGATAAGAAGAAAGGTGCCATTGCTTGCTAGGTGAAAAAGATTGTGGCTTTTCTTGTTTGTTATCTTGAGGTCCAAATTTTATTCATGAATTTTATTCCAGACTAATGTTGAGTATTCATTTTTCGTTTTTGGTTAGAACTGTGAGAGAATCATCTGATGCGATTCGTGGGTTTTCTTGGTTTTCCAAGGTTAGGAGCTCGTTTTGTGTTTGGTACTCCAGATTTTGTTATGGGGTTCGGTTTACTTTCGAACAACTGCGTGTTCTGGTTCGATTTACCTGGTGCTAATAAATGAAACTGGATGTATTTCTGTAGAAACATGGATGAATTCATGAATAGAATGCTTTGAAATTTTTGGATCTATGGTATCTTTTACAGGGTTAGAATTTTTTGTGACTTTGTAACTATAATTCTCTTAAAGCCTTGGTGATTGGTGAATAGAATACTGCAGGAATTGGGTGATTATTTGTATATATGTATGCTTGAGCTTGAGTTTTGGTGAAGAACTAGAAGATTTAGGAGTTGAGAGCTTGAGAAACAAGGAAATCTAATGTTGTGCACACTTGAAAGGACAATATAACAGTACACAAAATTGTGTGAGACGGATTAATTGTTAGCCGAATCGACTTGTTATACACTTTTAAAGAAAATTCATGCATATATTATATAATGTCATACTTTTGTTTATTATTATTTTTTAGAATACGATATTTCATTTCGAAATGATGCGTGCGTTGAAAAAAATGTGATTTTCTAACTGTTAGATCAGTCAAATAGCAATGGAGACCTTTATTCGACCAATTAGACCCTAGTCACTATGGTTGTATTTGCCCAGTTGACAGAAAAATAGGAAATTCGATATCCGATATTTATGGCTTCCTCACTATCAGCAAGCATACCCTGTCTCCACATTGGATCAAGAACATGGTCAGAAGGATAAAAACCGGATAATTCATACAGAGCCATCGAGCGCGCTAAACCAGGAGTTACGTGGAGTTTTAAATTGAAAACGAGCTTGTCTTTTTTCGAGCAAAAAGCCCCTTTGACGTCTCGCTTGTTTTTTAAAAAGCAGAAAGCTTTATGTCTTGAGAGATACAGGAGAAAGGATGAAGAAGAACACAAGCAATGCTCGGAAGTAGAGAGTGAGAGGGAAGAAGAATGTGGGATTTGCATGGAGATGAAAAGCAAGATAGTCTTGCCAAACTGTAATCATGCCATGTGCTTAAAATGCTACAGAGAATGGTACTGTCTCACTTGTTTTTTACGGGATTTTTGAAGTATTGGTTTTGTTTAACCTTATATTGGTGATAAGTTAACTGTGTGGTTTGTCTTAATTAGGTCAGAGTTTATATCGAGCACACGCTACACTCTCACACATACATTCTTTATTGAAAATTTATTTAAATGTTGTTCTGTGCACATATGATAATAAATTCGAGGAACAGAAAAATCCTTAGTAGTAATTGTCTCTTATTTATCTCTTGATTTATTAACTGCAGGCGATTGAGGTCACAGTCATGCCCTTTCTGCCGTGACAGCTTGAAGAGAGTTAATTCTTGCGATTTATGGGTTTTTCTTGACGGCAGGGACGTTTTGGACATTTCCGCTATAACAAGGGAGAATTTGAAGAGGCTGTTCATGTACATAGATAAGTTACCTCTTGTAGTACCCGAGACTCTCTTTGATGCTTATGATACTCATGTGAGATAAATTTTTAACTCGTTTGCTCAAAGGTCTTATTCATTTTCTGGATTATGGATCTTTCTTTAACTCTGAGGAGCATGAAATCATCTCTTAAGTTAGTTCGGATTCCATGCTTAGGAAAAATCCAGCCTTGATTTATGTTGGGCTGTGATTTTAAGTTTTAGAGGTTATGTATGCTGGGACTTGTATAGAACTGTATAGGATGAAAAGTCTACTTATCAAGAAGTTACAATGAAATTTGGAATCGCGAGTGCTAAATGGAAAGAAGTGTTATCTTGTTTGCGTTCGGCCATCTTGTTTTGTTGGTGCATTTTTGTTTTTTCTATTTAGATTTGCTGTGTGAAATGTGGTTGAAATTTAGCTATCTTCGTTCTTCAAGGACATGAAAGATTATTCGCTTTCTTTAGCTTTGGAAGGGGTAATTTTGTTTTTTGCATGCTATATTTAAAGTTGGTCCATGTAGAAAATTGTGAAATGATAATGATTGAAGTGCAATTTTGTAGGTTGGAAAATATCTTCCAGGCTTTGTGAGTTTTTCTCCTCTTTGAAAGATGACCTCTTTGGTTGATGAAATATCAAATATTGCTATTATTAAGTTTGGTTGGTAGTTGAAATATTCCTATTATTGCCTTTGAGGGATTGAATAGTGATACTTAGTGACAAAAATGTGATTTGATGGGGTTTTATTAGTCGGTGCTCTTTTCGTAAAAAAAATAACGGTAAAAACCCGGTGATTGTGAGTGTGATCTAACCGTAAAAAACATGAAGATTGTGAGATCTAACTGTAAAAAATTGGTGAGTAAGAGTAATTTTGCCCATGCACATTTGCATCAGATAATTCTGACTAAGAATGAGAAAACATAGTTTCTTATTTTTGCTACTTAGGTCAACACTTAACACACCATCGACGCTCGAATTTCTTAGGCTAAAATTATTCGTGTCTCGAATATCAATTCCCCTAGCTACCAAAATTTCAATGTGGTTCAATGCACGTGTTTCCTCGTCTCTCATGCCCACATTTAAATATATACAAACAAAAATAGTCTTTTTCACCTCTATGAGAATGTATTAAGTTTTTCTCACTGCTGATAAGTTTTAACTTTTTCACTCAAGAAAATGCAAAAACACTGTATGATGCGACAGTTTCACAATGACATTATGGGACATTGTGAAAAAGTTTAAAGTGCGAAGATATTCGCATAACCCTTTGCACTTTATGAGTTAAACCCTTCGCACTTTTTTTAGTTGAAGAAAAGTGTAAAAGCATTGTTCGATGCATATGCGACAATTATGAAAGTGATATATAGTGTTGTTAAATTAAACAAGTCTGACTCAACTCGAACTCGAACTCATTTATTTAACGAATCGAACTCGGCTCGGCTTGATAAGGCTTGGTAAGACTCGAAAATGAAATTTTTATATAATTTTCTATAGCTCGTTAAAGTTCAAAGTCAACTCAAACTCGACTCGTTATTAGTGATAAACGAGTCGAATTCGAGCTCGTTTGTTTAGCTGAGCTCGGCTCAAGCATCTAGACTCGAGCTCAGCTCATCTACAGGCAAGGTTGTCAAAACCGGATCGGACCGGCCGGTTCAACCAGGAACCGGCCCATACACCGGTCCGGTTTGCTGTTAGGAACCGTATTTTTTCAAAACCGGCTAAAAACCAATTGGACCGGTTCAAAACCGTTGAAACGGAAGCAGTTCGAGCGGCTTAGTGGTCTGCACTGTAGGCTTGTGGTTGTGAAGAGAATTTCTTGTGTAATCAATTAAATACTTGATTGCTTTGCTTTCTTTTCTAATGTGGGATATCCCCATTTATGCTTGCTCAAATTGGGCCATAGTGTGCCTTATATGCAAGTAAATAATTGTAATCCTAACCTCACATTGCAAAAAGAATAGGCTATTGGGCAAAAAGTACAAAGCCTAGGAAAAGTATTGTTTCTCATGCCCAAAAAAATTTATTTATTAAAAAAATATCATTATATAAAGTTATACACTATAAATGTCATTAATCATTATACACTATATATTGTTTCTCATTATTTTTTTCTTTATTTATTTAGAAAAATATCATTATACACTATAAAATTAATGATAAAAATATATAAAATTCTATATTATATATATAAAATAAATAAAAATTATATATTAATTAAATTGGTTTGACCGGTTTAACCATTAGTCTGACCAGTAAACCATTGAATCAGTAGCTTCACCGGTTCACTAATTCGATGACCTTAGTGATAGGTGACAATTATGAATAACCTTCGTGAAAAAAGTTGAACCAGCTTACAAACCGATTGCGTAAAACTTCAAATCAAATAAAAAAACCCTTCTCCAGAGAAGCAAGAAGAAGAAGAAGATGAAGGCGATTGTGATTACGAAGTCCGGCGGGCCAGAAGTCCTGCAGATACGAGAAGTCGATGAGCCCAAAATCAATGACAATGAAGTTTTGATCAGAATTGCAGCCACCGCACTCAACCGCGCCGACACACTGCAGAGGATGGGCAAGTACCCTCCTCCCAAAGGCGACAGCGAGTATCCGGGCCTCGAGTGCTCCGGCACAATCGTAGCCGTCGGAAAGGACGTCCACCGCTGGAAGATCGGCGATCAGGTTTTCTTCTGATTTTTCTATTTTAAATCCTCGATTGGGTTCACTTTCATTTGTTCCAGGTAGCGAAATTATTAGGGATCTCCCGTTCATTACGTGTTTGGTTAAAATTATCTGTGATGTGTTCAAAATATTGGTATGTGGTGAAAAAGGTTTGTGCTCTTGTTGGTGGAGGGGGATATGCCGAGAAAGTTGCAGTGCCCGCCGGGCAAGTTCTTCCTGTTCCGGCTGGTGTTTCTCTGAAGGATGCAGCTAGTTTTCCAGAGGTGGTCTGTACGGTTTGGTCCACTGTGTTTATGATGAGCCGATTATCTAAAGGAGAGACTTTCCTGGTATGTTTTTCCATCTTCTGGATTAGGATTCTTGTTCAGGATAGCGTAAGTGAAATTTCCGTCATAACTATGAGGATATTAGTTTGTGGGCAGTTCTGCTTTTTATTTGCGAGTTACTGTGATTTTAGAGAGTAGCTAATTGACTCCTTGAGGGATATATCCCTCTAATGATTATTAAGGAGAGTTTATTTTTTTATTTTTTGGTTGCCCTTTTGAAATGTCAATGCACGTAGAAATGCTTTAATGATTGTAAGTGTCAAAAACTTGCATTTTTGTGTTGTTGTGCTGCAATGCTTAACTTGATGACCCCAAAAGTTTTCTATTTGAGAAAAAAGGCACACAGGTCATGTTTTGGAGCTTTGTATACTCTTTGAAACTGTAATAAAGACAACCCTTGAGTGCAATATCATAATATATTGATGAGATCTTTTAGAAATCTTATAAACCAAATGTCTGCTTACCATAGTTGTTTCTGGAATCTATTTTCATTTCAACTGAAAAAAAAAAAATGTTTAATTTCAGATACACGGGGGCTCCAGTGGAATTGGTACTTTTGCTATTCAGCTTGCTAAATACCATGGCATCAGAGTTTTCATCACTGCAGGTTTGATGCAAATGACAATTTTCATTAATCTTGCAATGATGATATACAGTTGGTACTCACTGAAATTTTACTGATAATTGTTACAAAATACATTCTGCCACTTAGGAAGTGAAGAAAAACTAGCTGCCTGCAAGGAACTTGGAGCTGATGTTTGCATCAATTACAAGACTGAGGATTTTGTTTCCCGAGTGAAAGAAGAAACTGGAGGACAAGGTTGTAAATAATTTGGAACCGTCTCGTTTTTCATTGTCAACTTCGATCACGACATTATAATAGAACATATAATTTACTCAATGGTTGAGAAAATGAAATCCCTTTCTAAAAAATGCTTCAATTTTTTCTTTTTTTTTTTTTCAATGTGTAGGTGTTGATGTCATACTAGACAACATTGGCGCATCATACTTGAAGAAGAACTTGGAGAGCCTGAATTTTAATGGGAGGCTTTTCATAATTGGGTTTATGGGTGGGTCAGTGACTGAAATAAACCTTGCCAGTTTACTAGCTCGACGCCTTACAGTCCAGGGTAAACTCACTCGAATGTTACTGAATTTTTTTTTCCTATGAACCTTATGCATTGCCTGGAATACATGTTATTATTACAAAAATTCATTTATGTTCAAGTGCGATTCATTTTTTTTAAACAAATTTATTTTATTATATGATCTTGCAATAGCTGCCGGCCTGAGGAGTAGAAGTACAGAAAACAAGGCTCAGATTGTTAGTGAAGTGGAAAAAAACGTGTGGCCGGCAATTGCGGCAGGCAAGGTCAAACCAGTCATTTACAAGTCTTTTCCATTAGAAGAAGCTGCAGAAGCTCATCGGCTCATGGAAAGCAGCAAGCATATAGGAAAGATTATCCTCAGCGTTGAATAAAATGCCGTTTCCAGGTAATAAATATTGTGCTGTATCACTTCAAATGAGACGTGGGCTTTTCGTTTTCATCTTGTTTGTATTTGTCCTTATGATGGGGAATGTAAGTGAAACATGGTGTGAACTTTGTTATAAACTTATATGCTAGGTTGTTTACATCACTACTGTCTAATTGTTGTTTTGTGAAAGAAAATCTTCTATTGCTTACTATGCGTGCAACTGTTGAATGCTGATTGGCGTGCGCAGATAGGTGTGTTTATATCGTCCCATAGGCCATAACGTTAGGGTCAAATTAGTTGTACTAAACATCTTAATAGAAGGGGAATTATAGTTTTAATATAATGGCGATAATAATGCAATTTGATGCTAAAAATATATAAGTCATTTGAGGAAAACCAAAAATAAAATGTAAATAATAATTTATATCACCCCTAATTTGTGATTCTCCTATTCCCAACTCCAAACTGGTTTATTTCGATACATTTTACAGAAAATGCATGAAAATTTTGGTAATGTTTTGGTTATTGTTATGGTAATAACAATAATTTGACGCTAAAATAATTTTGCTTATTGTTATGGTTATTCGCGTACGATACGCTGTTCTCCACCTAAATTTTCCATGCTTTTCAAAATGTTTGATCTCGAATTAAAAAAAAAAATATATATTTTATTTTTCAATAATAGCGAGTTCTTGAATTGTGTCCTACTATTAGATTTGTCGTATCATTCACGCTCCAATGTATCTTTATTTTTTATTTTTATTTTTTTCCATTGTTTAAATTTTTGGTTGGCATAGCCAAATTGGACAAACATAGAATGTGTTTTGCGGTCCAAACTCTTTTAATTGCTGCATTTTCGTGAGGGTTAAAACTTTTGGTCGGCAATTCCACTCACTAGCGACCACAATACGTCTTTTCAGCCACCCATTTATTATTATTATTATTATTATTATTATTATTGAGAGAGCATGTAAAAGTTCTATATATGATCACTTTTTTTGGAATAAAGAGCAAGAAAGGTAAGGATAGAACAACAGCGCCACAAATATCATTTAAGAGCTAGATTTTCAAGTAGTTTTTTTTAGCTAATAGAACAACTCAAATAATATCAATAATATCATGCAAATGCTATTACGTTACAAGTTACAAGTTACAAAGTATGTTGTTAAGCTGTTTAATGAGCGTAGAAAACTATATTTTCTCAATATAATTACAATACTAATACTATGACACTTCATTTTTTAAAAATATGATATTTGATATGATTTTTTATTTTTTTTTTCAAAATAATATAAGTGTCTAATAGTTAATCAGCCTAATATCAACATTAATTAAGTGTCACCTGGTATTGAAAATTCTGCTGGTTATATAAAGATAAAAAATTACTCTGGTTAACCATTGGCTCTCTTATGGATGTTAAAGATTAACGAGTATTGAAATTTTTGATTAAAGATCAACAAATATATAACTAACTTCAGCTTTTAAATATATATATATATATATATATATATATATATGTGTGTGTGTGTGTGTACGTGTGTGTGTGTGTATGCAATTTGACTTAAAATCACAAGACACAAAATTGAGTCAAATTTAGTGCGTTCTCGAGTTATCCAGCTGATGACTTTCCCACCACCGTCCATTCAACTATCAGTTGGGAAAGAACTGTTTAATTTACTATTTTTTCCTTTAGACTTTTGAGAGTAACAAACCAAAAGTGTCACGGCCGTAATATTGCAATCAATCATTTTCTAGTAGATTATTGAAACGTTAATCCATCTATGCCAATCCTCAAGGAAAAAGCTCCAATTATATATATTCTTATTTAACAAATTTAGTAGATTACATTGATTTTCTGATCCCATTTTTGTGAATGGAAGAGTTCCAAAATTTTCAAAATCATTAATTAAGAATGAATGATATTTTAATTATAAGTTACAGATAAACTAATATGTAGAAAAAATTGAATTTTAGGATATTGAGTCATTAATTTCTTTTCATCTTGACAGTGTACAAAATATTAGTTTTGTTTGTTGAAAACTTGTGCATTTAAACTTTAAAGTAAGCTATCTACAAGTATAAAGACGTTGTCGAAGAACCGTTTGTGACCAATAGTAACTTTAATTTATTTTCATTTGTTTCATTTATATTTTTCGAGTCATTTTCTGAAATCCACATGCTAAGTTGATAACAATATATCTTTAACACTATGATCACTACATTGCAACAATTATGTAACTATATAATATATTAATTTAAGCACAATTTGTAAATATTGCAGTAATGCAATGTATTTAACAATATATATTATATATATCTAGGTCACAATCAGAACCTTATCCAAATCTCAGCATCTATAGAGATCCATTCTAACAAACTCATGTACCAAGTGTTGTATTGCAGTCAAATTTAAGACGTCAACATAACATTAATAGTCCACTATTTCTTGTTATGGGTATTTATTGCATGCCTTATCTTCATCTCGTTTTTTCTATTTTTGCAAAATTAATAGGCATGGGCGGTAATTATATCGTATATATAGGAAGTTTCATGAGAAACTACAGATATGTCGGTAAAGTATAAATATTAATCCCTCCTAATAAAAAAATAATCAAATATATGCGATGTGGTCCAATTATATTTCTGCAGTGTGAACAAATTGAACAATTAGAAACGAAACAAAGGCTCGATCCAATTGCAAAACGAGAGCCACGAGTAGTTTTGAACTAGTGACGTGATATCAAATGCGATCGTGGTTTGTCAATGTGTTAGATTGTAAGATACGTGACTATCAAAGAGATAGCTTAAGGAAATTTGAACAAAACAGAAGTAAAATCGAAGTCGAGTCACGTAATAGTTATGTTTTTCTTGAAACGAAATTGTCAAGTAATTAAAATACCCACGATTAATGGCGAACGCCTCTAAGAACGACTTTTGACTAGCATATATACTTCATATATAAACTTTTGGCGAACAATACTATTGCTTGAATTTCTCAAAATTAACTCAAAGAAAAATCAAAGAATACAACTTAAGACCTTTTCGTGATTCGAACTTGTTCGTTTTCGATCTAAACAACTTCCGAGCTAGTAAAATTCATTTCATACATATCACTTAGAATTAATTTTGCATTCAATCTAAGATGGTTTAGAGAAGTATTTCCAAGTCTTCCGTTTACGAAAAATTGAACCGCAAAATCAGTACAATATTGATTTTTTCTTAGAAAACCGTCATACTTTGATAATAAAAATGTATATTTGTGCTATCAAACATAATATTTTTATTTATATTATTTTCTAAAGTATGCCATTTTATTAATTGTAATATGCATATTTTTTAAAGAGTATGCGACCTACAAAATAACTTGCTTTATCAAATTTATGTACCTAGTTATTAATCAGTTTCAATTTCTCTATTAGCTTATGTTAGGTAGGAACATGATAGTTTTAAAGTGATCCACATGTTCATTTATAGGATACATAAATATTGTTAGTTTTCTTAATCCGTACAGTTCTATTAATTAGACAGATGAAATTAAAGTTATGTTATGAACAGGATTAATAAATTAACCACAAGTTTTGCCAACTCCATTGATAATAAAACGATCCTTGTCTTTTTTCATTCATCCATTCCAACACATCTACACATGCATATATTAAAGTGACATAGTTTAGAAGTAACGTAATTAATTTTTATGATTCTTTAGAGTAATACAAATACATAAGCAATGACTAATTGCACCAATTTAATTTATTTTTGAATTGGACAACTTATATTTTACATATATATTAAATGTGTTTTTCTCTTATTTAGGTTCATACTTAATTTGGTAGAAATTCTAGAGTTTGGAACGTGAAATGGACATCTACGAAAGATCTAATCACATAGTCCCGTTGTTAAAAGCTAAGCTACTCATTTTGAGCCACGCTCACATCATGATATTGTTTTGTTTAATTAACTTGTATTATAAATTTTATATATTATAGTCATCGCTATAACTCAGGTAACTTTTAATTCATAAAATATAGTGAGTCTTTAGTTGAATGTTGCTAATGTGGAGACAAATAATTGCATGTTCTGTCACCAAAAGATATTTTACTTGACCCAATTGGACTCACATTTAATTTAAGTGAGTTATCAACATTATATGCATTAGTATATTAGTATATATTGAGTCTTAGCTAGAATTATGCATTTAATAGTTTATATCAACTAGATTGGGTCCTAGCTAGAATTATATAAACAATTCTATTGCAAAATAGAAATTACATAATGTATAAACAATTTTATTGCAAAATTTTTTATTCAAGCTTTTTATTTTAAAATCAAAACTACCTTTTTTTTTTTGGTATCTCATGAAACAATTTTCTTAAAAAAAAATAGCTGCATTGTTTTAATAGCATAGTCAAACCACTATAAAATATTATAAACAATTGTTGTTATAATAATGATGATGATGATGATGATAATTTTTTTTCAACTAAATTAAATGATCATTATCCCTCCAAATTATAAAATTACATTACCCATACTTTTTTCAATCAATATAGTGATTAATATATACATAAATAATTTATATTTATATTATTTTATTTTTACTAATGATAAAAAATTTAAAATGTGATATGTTCATTATATGTTATTTTTATATTAAATTTTCACATACTACTTATAATATTTTATTTTTATCGATGCATGTGCACAAGATAATTACTCGTTAGTCAATTATGATTGATATGTATTCCTTTTTAATTAAGTTTTAATTAACACTAATTATATTTTATTATTGTTCTAATAATGATTGGTAGATTATTTTTAAAGTTAATCAGAGTTTGATTATTTTGGAAGAATATATACCCTAACTTAAGTCCAACATACATCGAGATTAGTAATTACTAGCTTAGTATATAGAGTTGAAAAGCACTTAAAAAATGACATTAAGCTCGAAAAGATTATTATATAGCCTATAGGAATATGGTTGAGCTACGTACAAGACAATAATTGTACTTTAATTTGTGTGAAAATAATTAAGGTACGTACATACGTGTACATGTTGATGCTGCTAATTCATTTATTGAATTAGTTACAATATTCTCTATCTCAATATAAGTATAACACATGGCTGCATCGGACATGCTACATTGACTAAATTCTGTATTTTAAATTTAATTAAGCTCAATCTCAAATTCATAAAATATGTACACGACATTTAAGATAGCCTAATCGCTCCACCTACTAAAAACCCTTGAACAGAGATAGAAAAAGATTGAAATTATGTCATGGAATTAAATTATTAAATTGCTCACCATAGTTAGGTCAATGAATATTGAATAAGTGGTCCAAAGTCAAAAACCCTAAAATGGCGGTAAAATCCGGAAAAGGGAGCATTTGCTGCTAGTTAGGTTGCAGAAAGAAATTGGCAACGACCGTTAAAGGTCAAGCTCACACGCTTTAATGAGGTGTACATTCCGCTTTATTAGGGGCACATAATTAAAAGGGGTGTGTTAATCAAACTGAGTAGCTCTTGTTCTAACTTGTACTTTTTAATAAACGAGCCAATTTGGCTCGAATTGTTTAATAAGTGAGTCAAATTTTTTACTCAAGCTTGACTCGTTTATGTTCGTGAAAACTCGACTCAGCTCTTTTGACAAATTCAATTTTTAACGATCTTTTTGCTAGCAAGTTCGATTTGACTATTTCACTTAACATCCATAAGAAAAAGAGAAAATGAAATGTTTGTAAATAAGCATGATGTTTCACAAACAAGCTTGATTAGCTGTTCGAGCTCGACTCGTTTAAATAAAGGGAACAAGTCGAGTTCGAATTTTCATGAATCGAACTGAGTTGTGTTTCCAAATTGTTTGATTCGTTTAACAGCTCTAACGTGTAATAATTATTATTTCCACTTTTATAAAAAGAAAAATGGAAGTACGCTTTCACTTTAGCTTCTACGGAAGATGCAACGTACTTTTAATAGCGATTTGAGGAAGAAAAGAGGAGAACTTTTTAACTGGAAAAGTGAAAAAGTTGAAAATGGTCGGCCCGATCCGACCCGCAAACCCTGGGCCCGGAGCCTTCTCATCTTCCTTTAGACCCTTTTTCTCGATGGCTCCCCACTAACGGTCTTAAAAACCAGAGCTAGCGAATTATTACTTTTGGTATAAAAAATTCTTCATATTTCTCCTTTTGTTTTTTTTTTAATTATTTTTTTCATATTTCTCCTTTTATTATGACTATAAAATTAGTCGAGACTTCTAAGAGTTAAGGACAAAAATAAACTTATACTGATTCTCGGCTAAACCTTATATTTGACAACCATAATATTTTTATGAAGAAAAATGCATATACTTATATTGTTTATTGTAAAATTTTCAATTTTATTTTTCAACAATTTTTCAAAATATGACATTTTTAATAATATGAGAAAAATATAACTGGCTAACACCAACACATGATCCTTTCCTTAGCTGGGTATTTACTTAATCAAGAATTCAAGATAACGTGATAATCACTTTGGCCGACCAGAAAAAGGAAGGGACAAATCCTAAGGAAGGGTTAAATAAACGACACCGTTTCACTTTCCACACATCAGTACCACCGTCAAAATCACTGTATCAGCAATGCATCCTCCAACTTTTTAAAAATTAATTTCACACCATTTATTTATTAATTTTGATTATATATTTATTTATTTATTCAGTACCCACAACTCCCATGTGGGCCAGCCCATGCAACCACACTCGCTGTCCCCTAATCCGACGGCCCAGATTTCACGCAAGCCCACAAACCGCGTGTTCTCAAAGCCCACTCTCCACACTTATATAATTCCTCAAAATTCATCTCAATCGCCTCCAAAGAAGCTCACAATAACAGAAAAAGAAGAAAAAAAAAGGGAGAAAGAAGAGAAGAATTGCTTACATGGTATCCATGAAAATCCTCCTGATTTCAGCCGGAATCGTCTCCCTGGCCGTCGGGTTGAGATTCGCCGTGCCGGCGGCGGCGGACGGGATTCCGGCTCTGTGGTCCGCCGCCGTGTCCTGGCTCAAGCCTCCCTACCTGTACCTGATCATCAACGGAATTATCATCACCATCGCCGCCTCCTCGCGCTTCCAGAAGAGCCACTCGGAGCAGCCGCCGGCCGCTCAGCACCTGATCTCAGTCAAAACTCATCCGCCGGCGAGTTTCGAGCCGTTTCCGGCTCAGATGGATGTTGTCGCTGTAGTGGAGGAGCCTGCGCAGGCGGCGGATGCAGTGGCGGAGGTTGTGGTGTCGGAAATTGAAGACGCCGTTGTCGAATTGAGACCAGTGATGGTGGACGGATCGGAGGTCGGCATAGATTCTCCAGACGAAATCGCGATTGAAGCTGATCTGGATAAGGATGTGTTTGTTGAATCCACGATTGAATACAGAAACACGCCGCCGTCGCCGTCGCCGTCCCCGCCGCCGGAGGAGACGGTTTCTCGGGAGATTCAGCTTGAGTCTCTCTTCCCGGCGAGGGAGAAACCTCTTGTTACTTCCAGATTCGCTCACCGGAAGCCAAATAGAACCAATCCTGAAGGTAATTAATCAATTAATTAACTCAAAAGTCTTATTATTGATACTGAGAATCACGGCGTTGATTTTTCGATAAAACATTAATTGTTTTGCTAACTGGTCTCCGCTGTTAAATTAGCAGGCGCGCGGGCCTTGCGGGTAACAAAGACGAAAAAGCACGAGACTCTGGAAAGCACGTGGAAGATGATAACGGAGGGGCGGCACGTGCCGCTCACGAGGCACCTGAAGAAGCCGGAAGACCACGGCGCCGATGTTCCGGCGCCGGCGAGGATCGGGAAGGAGCCGTCGCCGGGACAGGAAGAGCTGAACCGGCGGGTGGAGGCGTTTATAAAGAAATTCAACGAGGAAATGAGGATGCAAAGGCAAGAATCAATGAACCAGTTCATGGAGATGATAAACCGTGGCCTGTAAAGTAAAGCTCACATTTATTTTAATTTCATTTCATATATTTTTTTTTAAAATTTTGATATTGCACAGTGGTTAGTTACTGTTGCTGGACAGATATTTTAAGNCTTATTAGGTTAAGTCTGTAAAGTGTAAAATTGAGAATATTACAATTGTGTTGTTTGTTTGTTTTTGTTTGTGTATGAAAAAAAAGAACTTAGCTGTAGCATTATTATACTACTGCTTTTGGTAGTTCAAATATTTGTTGAGGACTTGGGTACGTACGTAGAGATGACTTTATGGTTTAAAATTCAAATGAGAGCAAAGATTGGTTACAAAAGGAAAGAAAAAATAACTTTTTATTTTCGCATACCACTTATTTACAAAGGGATTTGTATTTTTACTACTGGAAAAAGTTTTTTGTTAAGGTTATAGGGATTGAATTAGTAGGAGTTAATGCAGCGCCCTTATAGAAATAAGAGGTATCACTTTAAATAAACACTCGTGAGTCGTGACCATAACAGTTGTTTAGCAGTTTAGGCATTATATAATACTAGTGAGCAACCCGTGCGATGCACGGTGAGGCTTGTTCCTCAAAACTTATTTAAAACTTTAATTTTAAATATAATTACTAAAGTTTAAACATTTTATTATAAATTAGACACAGAGTATGAAAAAATCATATATTGTTGAACAATTCCCTATACACAATATTTTATGTTTTATTTTGTGGAAAACCTTCTTGTCAACAAATTAAAATTTTCAAACATTTGTGTGAAAAAAATTAAATTACAATATATTATTTGTAGTGTGATAAATCGTAATATATTATTTTTAGTGTGATAAAATGTGTTGGGATAACTATGACCATTTGAAAAAATATTTAATTGTAATTTTAAAACTTTAATAAATTTAAAAAGATAAATATGACCATTTGAAGAAATATTTATATGTAATCTTAAAATTTTAAGTTTTGAAAAATGATTGTATATATGCGCCAAGTTTTTAGGAACCAATCGATCATATAATATAAAATTCTTATATGATTTCCAGAGTCTTACGAACGTGACATGAACTTCATTTTTTAATTTCAAATTTAAACAAATCAAAAGACAAATTATTAGGTAGTTATGAAAAAAAGTATCCAACAAACTATTTTTTAATTTCAAATTTAACATATCAGAAGACAATTATTAGGTAGTTATGAAAATAGTCTCCAACAAACTTTAAATTAAACGACACACAAGCATCAGATCTGGAGTTGGTTGCAGTCGACGCTCACCACCCGTCTCGAGGTCCGGTAGCTCCTTGACCCGACATTCTCCACCGCCTTCAATATGTCGTACTCCTCCACCACCTGCCCGAACACCACGTGCTTGTTGTCAAGCCACTTCGTCCTTGTCGTGCAGATGAAAAAGTACATGTCATTTGTCCCCGGAACAGCTTTCGCCATCGACAGGTCCCGGTGTGCTTTCTCATGATGTTCTCGTCGGTAAACTTGGCGTCATAGATCGACTTGCCGTCGTTACCCGCAGTGAAGTCACTGCTCTGACAAATGAAATTGGGGATTACACGATGGAAGGATGACCCTTTGTGGTGGAGGGGATTGCCATATTTGCCGACGTCCTTCTCGTTGGTGCATAGGGCGCAAAAGTTTTTGTCGGTCTTCGTGACAACGTCGACGAAGAGCTCCATCACGATTCAACGGCGGGGCTAGCTGCTGATTGTTATGTCGAAGTAAACCCTAGAATTCGATAGGTTGATTTGAATTTTTTATTTAGGAGTTTTTTGTGATTTTTTTTTTTTATTTGTGACTAACTGATTTTTTTTTTTTGGTCTCAAACTTAGGATTTTGTAATTGGGTGGGGAGGGGTTTATATAAGGGATCGATTGAGTGCAAACTTTAAAAAGATGGATTCTTTCTAAACTTTAAAAAGATATTGTAGTTAGATAAATATGGAGAAAAAAATATTTACCAGGAATTCACATAATATGAGATTCTTTCCAAACTTTAAAAAGATTTTGTAGTTTAATAGATATGGACAAAAAAATATCCATAGATAGAGATTTGCCCGAATTTTCAAACCTTTTTATATATATATATATATATAAATCAATTTGTGCTTTAGGTGGGAATTTTTACCCTTTCTTTTAATAAATTCATTATCAGTAAAAACAAAAATTTTAGGCTGGATTTGACATACTATTCACAGCTAAATGTTTTGCGTTTTTATATATTCATGGATATATATTTAAGTCGTGAATTTTTTATATTATATGATTATATGGCTAAAAATATGTTGTTTCAATCAAATAAGAAAAACAAATCAATATATTTACACACAAAATTCAGAAATATAAATAATTTATGGAGGATTGAAGTTTATCAATACTTAGTATAACATCTATTATTCTCGAAGCAACTTTTTGTTTGATTTGCAACATTAATTTGAATGAAAAAAAAATCCGTAATTGTGGGAATATCTCGATTCAAATCTCAATTTTTGGCATAAGAATCTCCAAATTTGTTACCAATAAAAATGGGATTCGTATTGATGAAATGAATTAAAGTTTGGCATAAGAATCTCCAAATTTGTTACCTTAATAAAATCTCCAATTTTTATGGGATATCTCATTAAATTTGATTCCTAAAGAAAATAAGTTGTTTCAATCAAATAATTCATATATTATTTCAATTAAAGAATATAAACCACCAAAAACTAGAGAAGATGTTAGGATTTAGGTCATAAAATAATGTAAGTTATTATTATCTAAGAAAACCAAATCAATATATTTACACACAAAATTCATAAATATAAATAATTTATGGAGGATTGGAGTTTATCAATATTTAGTATAATATCCATTATTCTCGGAACAATTTGTTGTTTGATTTGCAACATTAATTTGAATGGAAAAAAAAAATTCATAATTGTTGGGATATCTCAATTCAAAATTTCAATTTTTGCCATAAAAATCTCCAAATTTGTTACCTATAAAAATGAGATTCGTATTTATGAAATGAATTAAATTTTGGTATAAGAATCTCCAAATTTGTTACTTTAAGAATCTTAAATTTTTTTGGGATATCTCACTTAAATTTATTTCCTAAAGAAAATAAGTTGTTTTAATCAAATAAGTCAAATATTATTTCAATTAAAGAATATAAACCACCAAAAAATAGAAAAGAAGTTAGGATTTAGGTCCTAAAATAAGGTAATTTAGTATTATTTAGAAAAAAAAAACAATATATTTACACACAAAATGCACAAATATAAATAATTTATAGAGGATTGGAGTTTATCAATATTTAATACAACATCCATTATTCTCGGAACTATTTTTTGTTTGATTTGAAACATTAATTTGAATGGAAAAAAAATTCGTAATTGTTGGGATATCTCAATTCAAAATTTCAATTTTTTGGCACAAGAATCTCCAAATTTGTTACCAATAAAAATGAGATTCGTATTTATGAAATAAATTAAATTTTGGCATAAGTATATCCAAATTTGTTACCTTAATAATCTCCAAATTTGTTACCTTAAGAATCTCCACATTTTTTGGGATATCTCCCTTAAATTTGATTTCTAAAGATTCACATGTGCTTTTTTCAAAATTTCTACTAATAGTAAGTCAACACATTATTTTTAAAGTCAAAGTTACTATTTTTGTATTTTTCCAACAACCTCTTTATATTACTATAGATACGCTTTACCTCTAACAGAGATTATGAAATTTCAATTTGGAAAACTATATGTAACATGTAAAAGAGCTACTTTTTATGAAATGTTATATTTTATTTATTTACGTTGTTTCTTTTGTAATATGACATATATATTATCATAAAATTGTATGCTTGTTAAACCAAAATATAATAACCTAAAACTTATATAACAATAATCCTTCCGATATTAAAATGAATTCGAGTAGTCAAATAGTGTTTGATTTCATACAGTTTGGCTGCTTTATGATTCAAGGTTCGTAGGTCAAACACGACATGAGTTAGCCAACCATATGATAGTTAATCCATGCTAGTGATAATGAATTTATAGTATTCAAGCACAATTAATTAATTTAAGTTGTGTTATTCTAAAATTTTTCCAGCCAAACTCATTTTCTTAGTCAAATATGGAGGATTAATTATCACGCTCGTTGCAAATAAATTGATTTGACGAGTTGGGGTGGCCAATATCTCCATGACAAATGTGGTCTAAGTTGGGCTTCTATAATGGCCAGTCATGTAAAGACCTAGAAAATTCTCTTTCCCATAATCATTAAAAGCTAAATGCACGCATATAACTAAAATATTACTATCTTCTATTTTTAATAAATGTCATTTTGAGAAGTTGCACAGTAATTAAAAATATTTTTTTTGTCAATAATAACCCTCGTTAATGAGGATAGAGATTGATGTTTTGAGAAAATATGGAGAATGAATATGAAAATTTTATTTATTAGTTAGATGAGGATAATAATGGAAAAATATGCACAAGATAGCCAAAACGACATTTATTTAACAAATGATCAATTAAGCCAGAATGATAAATAATAAAAATAGGAGGGAGTATAATTTATATGTATGCATGTAACATTAAAAATTGTAAGTTATTTTTAATGGTTCACATTTTAAAAAAAATTATAAATTAGTAAAATTAAACAATATAAATTATTTAACTATATATGAACTACTATATTGATTGTATAACATGTAATAAATAATATAATTTTTGTAATTTTCATAAATCATGACCAAAATTAATTAACTAAATAAAAGATTAAAATTATTATTATAAAAATTATTTATGCCATTTTAAAGGGTTTGACTATGTCCCTTCTCCTCGAAAAAAAAATCAGAAAACCCCCAAATCAACCCGACCCTTCTTCACTTTGCGGTGCCTTTCCCGGTGACGGCGAGCTAGGGCCAGTGATTGGTCGGAAAAAGTGTGTATTATATATATTTATTAGCGTATTTTTATATGCTTAATTTTTATCACACTTATATGTTTTTCGGCTTATTTATTTATTAGATGGATTTGAGTGCTATGATATTTTTGTGCATTATTTTCAGACTATTGGGCTACTTTTATGGACGGCGAGACATTGAAAGAAATTACATTCAGCACAGTACGGGGTGCCCAATTTCAGCCAGCGCAATACGGGGGTAGTCCAT